TAGATAGATAGATAGATAGATAGATAGATAGATAGATAGATAGATAGATAGATAGATCGATCGATCTAGATAATAGTTTAGGCTATGCTAATACCTTAACGCTTACAAACATTGGTTAATATCCAGAACTGCATCTTATTATTATTTTTATCCACAATGCAAAATGATTTAAATCTGAGCATATATCAGAATCCTGCATTTAATTTCTAGGCCTTAAAGCTCTTTTTAATATAATTTGCATATATATCTGAGGAAAAACTTTGGTTGTACTTATAGTTTATTGGCCAAAATGTAATGAAACTGATTGCTATGGCCTTTCTATTTACTAATCTATATGTGGCATCAGCATAATTAAGGCTGATAATCTAATCTACATCTTCTGTATCTAACTAAAAATTGCATTCAAAGCCTCAACTGACCATGATGGGCAATGAGGATATACCAACTGGCAGTCTAGCACAGCCATGACGTATGTAAGACTGTGGCGTGGAATGCAAGAGATGTACATCGTAAACAACATGAATTAATATATACAATGTATGAAAGGAAAGTAGCTATATTGTGCTATAAAACTAATAGAAAAGAGGAATTATATAATAAATTCAATTGATATTGGTTTAATCTTGAAGAAACAGGGTTGATGAATATAAGTATGGAAGTGAAGGTGTAGATTTAATTATAGTGAAAGGGTTAAAATGTATATAAGAGATTATGAAATAATGTATTCAAGTCTTGCATAGGAAATTATCCTAAAACATACTTGAATTTTTTGGTTATGCCATAAAACTGAGGAAAAATATTGAAAGATACAAAGAAAAGTTGTGAATACAGACTGATTGTATTATTACTGGATTTTGAGGTAAAATGACTATGAAAGAAAAAAGTTAAAATAATTAGTGTAAAAACAGAATGACTGCAGAAAGATGAAGTACAAGATGTGTATGTAAAGGAAATAGAAGAAATATTAGAGGAAATTTCCACAGAATGTAGCCAATTATCAGGTTTTTTTCCTCAAAATTCCTGTAAGATTTGTGCGAACTCTGTAGGCATTGATGGGAATAATAGTGATAATGGAAACTCATTCATTAGTTTGCAATATGCAAAAATCTGATTTATTTGTTTAATTAAAAGAAAATTAAAAGAGCAATTACAAGTCAGCTGTGGCATGGTGCTTAATGACATCAGAAGAGATTTTGGCAGGAATATTAATGCCCATCAGGATTTTGTTCTAAATCTTTGCTAAAATGTTCTCCATTTCCTGTGTCCCTCATATATGAGGAGGAAATGAAAAGAGAGATGAATTGACTATGTTTATTAATATCAGCTTGGACTATGACAAAAGAAATTTAACATATTGCAAGGAACATATTATTTACCATCACTTTTGGTTGAATCCTTCTTCCTAAATAAAATGGCTTATTTGTGCAACAGTCAACCCTGTTCAGTTAGCTTCTTGATTACACATCTGCTACATGTAATGTATAAAGTGGCATCTGGATATCCTTTGTTGTATACTAAAGCCCAACGGCAGACACATTTTTGCATGATAATGTCCCCAGATTTGTTATTTGAGCCCAAAAGGAATGAATTTCAAAACATGATTTACTATTTCCATGATCCTATGGACCTTTTTCTGGAATCCTGGTTTTGGCTTGCTTATAATTGCCTGCACTTTAGTATTTCCTGGTTTAATTACATCTTTTATTAATAATTTTCTAGATACTATCGTACAAACAGATACTGTGTTTCTCTTGAATTTTAAAACATTTGCTTTTTTTCTCATTTTTATATTTGAGGAGCTGGCTTTTTCTGATAAAGATGATGATGTTATCCATTTAGCTGAGTCTGATTCTTGGTAATTCGATGGGCCAAGTCTCTCCACATCTTCCTATCTTGTACTATTTCTTTGAGTTTTTCTATGCTCCAGCTAGTGCCAGCTATGATGGTGTCCAGCCATTGTGTTCTTTGATGGCCTAGTTTCCTTTTACCACTAACAGGCTTTTTCTGATATCAGTTTTATTATTTATTTGTTTATATTTTATTTATATAGCCACCCCTGTCATAATAACTCTGTGTGACTTAACAACATTTAGAAATATCAAATATGTAAAATGCAGCAACACACGCAGCAGGTAAAGAACCAACCCAATCTAGAAAAACTGAAGTGGAGATCAAGATTTTATTCTTTGGTGGCTCACAAAAGAATGTCATCCATGGTTCATGGATGTATTCTATCAATTGTTCCATGATGCAATGAAACACTTCAGGAGCAGAAGTATGTATTTAAAGCTGCATCAAGAATAGAGCATATTAAAAGTACATAGGCATGTATTTCTTCATCAATTATCTTTGTCAAAATCTGACTGCATCTCTCTGGACAATATCTTTGCATTTGAAATTCTGACTTCAGACACATGATGACTTCAGATATGTAGTTGCTAGATATAGTTCTGGCTTAAATTTGTTGTAATTGCATGCTTAATACTTTGGGTTTCAGGCAAAATCCTGGACTTCCATTGTGACTAAAACCAATTAGTTCTTCAAATTGAAGAAAAATTTGATAAAAAAAATTTTTTTTATTCCATTTAGTCCAGTTTTGTTTTCATTCTGCAGTACTGATAAATTTTTCATAGCATATGCTGCTGGTTGTGCATCTTAATTAATAATAATGGAAACAACTTTCAGGGAGATTAGAATTATCACAGAAAAAATTATTCAAGGATAAGTAAATATGAAGATATCTTTCTATACAGATTGAGCAAACAGGATAGACAATTTGTAATTTGTCAGATTGAAGCCCCAGGTTGTTTCTTTGTGGATTTAGGAGTATTAATGCATTTATATTCCTAGCCACCCAATATAGCTATTGGTTCCATTACATAACTACAGATACGTGCATAAATATGTCATTTATTGTAGTGACTTTTAGCAATTAGGTTAACTTGTACACCAGCATCACTCTGAAAAAACAGTGGGGTTATTGTTCAAAACCAGTCTTCCTTCTGTCATTGCATCCTACCCACATTAATTTAGCTTATGAAAAAATTGTCTTCAGATTCATAGTCCTTTGATACTTCTGTGTATACTTTTTGACTTGTTTTGTTGCTTTGTGCATATTAACCTTGTGGTTGTACTTATCACTTATCACTTATGACTTTTATAGTATAGGTATGCTTCATTCCTCTTTGGCTGCATTGTTTACATACACTGTGCCCTGCTTTCAAATGTTTTTGCCTGCTGATAATACCTTTGCTAGGACCCATGTTTCAAACTAAAGTCAAACTATACTCATGTATCTTTTACAAAATCTTCAAATGTCTTAGTCTCCCTTTGGAAGCATAAACTGTAGATAAATATCCAACATAAAGCACAAATACAATATAAACATTTGTTGAAAGTATCTTGATTGGCTGTCCATGTTGCCTTACTATATACTTCATTTCACAGAGTAGCTGAAAAGAAAAAAAAAATTTGGGGGGTGGTGGTTACTACTCAGCTAACATAGAGAGAATGCTACTTTCTAATAGCTCCTAAAAATGTTTGTTGACCTTGCATTAATTTTCTGTCATTTGACTGTGGAGTATAGGTAGTCCTCGGCTTATGATTACAACTGTGCCCAAAATTTCCATTACTAAGCAAGAGAATTGTTAAGTGAGTTTTGCCCCATTTTACAAGTTGCCATAGCTGTTAAGTGAATCACTGCAGATGTTAATTTAATGACACAGTTATTAAGTGAATCTGGTTTCCCCATTGATTTTGCTTGTCAGAAGTTTGCAAAAGGGGATCACATGACCCAGCATACCGCAACCATCATAAATACCAATTGCCAAGTGTCTGAATTTTGATCATGTGACCATGGGGAAGCTACAATTGCTGTAAGTGTGAAAAATGATCGTAAGTCATTTTTTTCAGTGCCATTGTGCCAGTGACTTAATGATTGGTTGTAAGTCAAGGACTACCTGTAATATTCACTATTTTTATTTTTTAGCAAGATATTAGAAGTTTTGGGCAGATCTGGGCATCTAGCACATTATTGTTGCCGCATAAAGATCCAGCTTCTCTTCTGAAATCCTGCATTGTCATTTATGAGGAGGCAATTGCATAAGAGGAAATAGGACTGTTTTTATAAAGATTAGCTTGAACCTACCTTTGACTTGGAACAAAAGTGAAAAATTAAAGAGTGCCATTACTCCCACAACATGAGTAAGTTCAATTTTGGGTAAATACTAAGTTCTTCATGTTTCCCAAATCTTACCATAAGATATTTTAGCTCATCACAATCTTTCCTGTGCTTTATGCTTCTCCCCTCTTGTCCCTGGATTTGAGGAACTCAGCAACACTATTTATTCATCCTTTTAATTTCTAGCTTTTGGCTTCACTTGTCAGCTTCATGTATAATTCCATCTCTTACTTAGCCAGCTCAATGGATTTTTGCAAAATTCCTGGTTTCCATAGTAACTAGATTGCTTCCCCTCATAGATTTTAGTTTGTGGGTTGATATGTATAACTTCCGTGAACTTTTGAGCTTTTTCATAAAAAGTGTTATGAAAAAATTGACAAACCCAAGCATAGTATTACTGAATCACCCCCTCGCATTTTCAAAACAATTAAGCCTTTTAACAGATTTACCAGAAAAGGTAAGTATCTGCTAATAATATTAATTCATGGCCTTGAATACCATGCTTCAT